TATTTGATATTAAATATATACTAACATGTGCTGTTAAATATGATATTAAATAAACTTACGAGGATCTAGTTTTTGAGCTTCTTTTTCACATAAAACTCTATCAAAAGAATCTTTACGATCACGATAAATATACACTTGCTACATCATTGTACAAAAATCAAGATTTTCATTTGAGAATGACCCAAAGACATCAATAAAATGTTTTTACAATCTGTTCTTTTTTTATGAAAATTGGATTATACAAAAATGCAAGATCTAACATATAAGCTGTTGCATGAACTTCTTTTTTCAAATGCTTGTCCCATCGAGCTTGAATAAGTTTAGTGTAAGGCTTGTATAGCTCCTTATTCGTCTTAAAGATGTCATTGGTTCTATTTTTAGCCCTTTGCGTCCCTTTATAGACATAAGGCGTTGAAGGCTTTTCATCTTAATCAACAATGCTCGGAAGTCTCATAAGCAGAAACACAATCTTCAGTACTTGATAACATTCATTCCATAACTGATTATCTAATACAATTACACTAAAAGTTCTTCCAGCTTCAGTTCTTGCTAATTTGTGATCCACAAAATACTTATCAATAGCCAAAGCTTGTAAATCATGTTTGTGCAAATATATGCTATGTAAGGTAATGAATATAGTTGCAAATCTTGTTGCACCAGGACGGACAATTTCCTTCCAACCAAATCTTTTCCTTAGCCATGACAAGAAGATTATATGATTATATGCAAATATAGTGATTTTAGATGCCTTTGTTGCAAGGTTTGACACATGAGGTATAGAAGCAATATCTCTCAAAACAAGATTCAAGCAATGAGCTACACAAAGTGACCAATAAATAGTTTTATATTTCTCTTTAATCAATTTGCCACATGCTACATAACTTCAGTCAGTCACCACATAAACTAGATTTTCAGGACCAACCTACTCAATAACTTCAGAAAATAATAAGAATAAAGTTTTGGCATCCTTAACTACATTTGAAGTATCAATTGATTTCAAAAATACCATACCATGTATGGATTAGACTAAGAAATTAATCAAAGTTCTTTGTTTAATATCAGTCCAACCATTTTCTTTCTATTTTACTTGATGACTCTTAATCAATAACTGACATTCCTTTTTTCAATCTTTCAACAAGTTAACTCTAAAATCATAAGCATTAGGGGCTTTAAACCCAGGCCCAATAGTAGTAATAGCATCAATAACTTTTTGAAAAAGAGGACAATCCAATGCATTAAATGGAATGTAATGAACAATAGCCCATTGAGCAATAACCATCTTGGCATTATATTCTGCTTCTTTAGTTAACAATACACTCTTAAGGCTTGGTTGGGAACCAGAAGTTGTCCTAGTAGCAAAATAATTATCAACCCTCCCGGTCTCAAGAGCTTTCCTCTTGTTGCCACTACTCTCAGTGCCTGTTCTAAGTGGAGGTGAATCAATTAGTGCCTCAGTTTCCCTAACTTTAGTGTCATCTTCTACATGCTTAATAGGTTTTTTCTTTGATCTCCTACCAAAGATTCTTTCATTTTGGCACGTATATCATGAGGAACTTTTTTACAAGAACAAACTTGACCAGAAACACTAGCTAGATGTTGTTTCATCCTATTTATCCTACTTCCTCTATAACTTAATGCATAAAAAAAGATAGGTAAAGGCATTTACTTACCCCTCTTTCTCAAAGGAAACATATGCCCATGTAGGATAAATTTTACTGGGTCTATATGAGGGTGCAGTGTTATTCGGATTATTGGTAGAACCAGTAGTGGGGTTCGGTTCTCTTTTTTGAGATTATTGATAGAACCAAAAATGGGGTTCGGATTCTCATTTCCTTTAGTATTTGTATCATCCATGATCAATAATCTCAACACAAACAATCTAACAAAAACAACAAATTAATAAAACACTAAAACAAAGTCACTAACATAATCGAAATCGAAGGCTCAAAGCAAGAATTCTAAGGCATGAAATCAGCATACACTTTGATGAAGTCCATTTAACAAAAATCTTAAACCCAAATCAAAAGCAAAATCTTTTAGGAATTAATTTTTTTGATCCCCATTGCAAGAAAGAACAAGAAATCTGAAACTCCAATTTGAAAAATGAAAAAAAAAACCAAACTAGTGAGATGGAAGAATGTGAACGACAGTCAAAATCAGAAGGCTGTTGAAGTCTAAATGGTGTCGACTCCCTCACCGTGAACGGAGTCACACTGAACTCTAAAGTGAATAGTCACTCAACGTGAAGAACAACCACAGAAATAATGGCAACTAGAAAATGATAAACAAGAAAGATGAGCTAGGTGAAACCGATTTCTACAAGAGAGAACGCGAGAAAGAAAATCGCCAGGGAAGGAAAGAAACAGAGCATGAAGCAGGAGTGAGCGAAGTGAAGGAGAAGTCTAAAGGAAAGGGGAAATTTTTTTTTAAACGTTTAATTGAAAAAGTCAAAAGCAAATTTCAATTAAAAAAAAAGCAAAAAAGAAAAAAGCAAAACGACATCATTTTAAAACAAGCAAAATGTTTTTTTAAAAAAACCCGGTTGTCCCAATGACCCTTCGGGTTACATGGGTCGGCTCTGAGTCATACCGATCTAATATGGGTCATACCAGGTTATATTAACCCCGGTTCTTATGTTTAACTGGACCGGTTTCTTGGCCAGTTCAATTGTTTTTAGTTTGAACCGGTGGGTTGGTCTGGTCCGGTTTTTAATACCTTAGAATAAATCATAATAAATTGGAACACTCAACTATGTATTCCTTGACAATGAAAAATATATGTGGGCATGTGGGGGGTGAGTGTTCTTTTTCACCAAAAATATATATTATTTAATTTTTGTATTCTCTTGTGGTAAGAGGAAAGAAAATAATTATCAATATATTTTTCAATATATTATTAGTAATTGTATGAAACCCATAATGTTCGCTGCCGTACGTTATCTTGTCTCTAGGTTCAGCTATTATTTCTGCTTAGAAGGTCCACATAAAAGAATATGGAGAATGATGCAAGATAGAATAACTGTATATTGAATATTCTTGACAGAATGGAGTTTATACAGTGTGGTATTTAAGGACAGAGCAGTATATGTGTCACGTGCTATACAGGTGCATAAAACCAAAGTGAGAAACACTATACACGTAGCCCTAGTGTGGTGTATCTGAGTCTCCTAATATTGGGCTGTGATTTGAGTATAGTTGGGGTGGTTTCTTTTTTCTAACACCACATTCATATTCTGTTGTCTCATGTTTTTTATTTTAAATTTTTACTACTCCATCTTCAGAAATACAATGTTCTTTACAATTTATAAATGGTAAATTGTCTTTAAAAAATTATATTATATAATGATTAATTAGTTAGATGCGATGAGTCACAAGCATCACATTAAATTTATGAAAATTTCTTATGATTAAAGGAGGCGTAGATACTAACAATTTTATATCACATGTAGCATCGCATTCGCGCCCTTTCATTTACTATGCTACAAATTCATTGATGCTCCCTTGTCACTATTGGATATGGCATATTATATGTTAATTTGTAAGAACATATTTTATTTTCTAAACTTTTAACTAAAGAAATTATACATATTTTTAGTTCATTTTTTAAATAAAAACTCCATAAAAATAAATTATTCCGCCTCAAGTTGCGCCACAATAGAAGCAAGGCTAACGTTTTTGACTTTTTTTCACATCTTTTGACCAACAAGCGATGCCAAAGTTGAAGACTGAAAAGTATGAAGGTTGATGAATAAAGGGTCGAATTCCAGTCTTCATTTTTATTGATTTTCATTGTCGATTAATAAATCAAAGAAAAAATAATGTGGTCTTTTAAAATATTTAAGTTGAGTAATTGTCTTATATATTATCGACTTTATATTTGTACACTTACAGTTATACAAACAATCTCAGTAATATATATAATGTATAATAAGTTGCATTAATCATAAGTTACTACTATTAAAAAATATAATTTATTCTTAAATTACACTGCTCCCTGTTATATATTACAAAAATTTATTGTTATTCGTAAGTTCATGGTTGTTAAAAATTATTTATAATTACGAAACCTGATTCAGAACTTAATTATTTCAAGTTTTTTTGAGATTCACCTCCTTTCATTTCTCAATATAAGAGATAAGAAATCCCAATATTTTTCAACATATTTAAATTAATTAGCATATAATATTGTTGGTCAAACTTAATATATATAAAAAATTTAGCCAAAAGTTCATGATTCAGAAATTAATTATGCACAGGTATTTATAATTTGTTTAATGAGGCAAGTGCGGTCTATTTTAAGTGAGTGCAATTTTTCTTCAATTATATACAACCCATCTTTAATTGTGTGTGGAATAGAAGATCACATTAGTGGAAGATATATGGCACACAATTGAAGAATAATTGCGTCTGCTAAAAATGAGTTATATCCACTCAAAAATCACGGTCGTCAAGTATTTTTATACTATTTTGGGGGGAAAAAATACTTTTATACCATTACTTTTCTGCTTAGTAACTTTTGACTAATTTTTCCTTGCATGTAATGCTTTAAACTTTAAATTATCCACAAAATCTTGAAGATATGGGGAAAAAAATTAGATGCAACTAATGTTTTTTAATCCCCTTAATTTTGGCAACTAGATATAGTACTTGTTGTTGGAATTTATTCTGATTGTATAGAGGCTAGTAATATGCTTAATTACTCGAGGATGTGATAGTGACCATCCATTTAACAATATCATTGATGAGCCTAGGAAGTTTATCCATAGACAATTGACAGATCTTATTGAAACATAGTTGCATAGAAAATCTTAGTTATGCTACTTAATTATCTGCCAAAATCTTTTCACAGTATGAAAAAAAAAATTTTTGTATCCTTAATCAACCGGATTTGTTGAAGAAAGATAAAATTAAATGTCGTCGATCCGTGTTTTCCATTGTGTTTTCGAATTATTATATTACCTGCTCAACAAGGGCGAAAAAAAGTACAGAATCAACCGTTCATAGACAGTATAACCATTATTATTCCATCAACCAAAAGGTTAACGGTTGGGCATAATCATTGATCAAGCTATATAACCAAGTAGAATCTTGAAGACAGCATGATTCCCCAAGAGGGTAATATATTTTTCTGAAATTATTCCTTAAACACTTATATGCTATTATACTAATTAATTAATTGATCGATATTGATCATACTCACTATAAACTATTTTTCATTCAATATTCAACAAGAAGGGGTGGGAACTCCACAAGTAGAAGCAACCTTCTTGGCGCCAGGAGAGTTAACATACTGCCTCAGACTAGGGTTCTTGAGGTACCCACACAGACATGGCTTCTGCTCCTTCAGCTTCTGGCAGCACTGGCTCGACGGCGGAGAGGAAGACGTTATTGCTCCGATGCAGGGACTCAGAGCAGCCGGACTGCAAGTCACCGCCTCAGCCATGTGTGGCCGCTCCGCCGCGGCGAGGATCAGCGCCAGCATCACCATCAGGCTGATCGCGCCCATCTTCTTCTTCATCGCCATTACTTCTGCAACTTAATTACCTATCTACCTTTCTCCGGGACTCTGACGTACAGTTTTTCTTTTCTTTGTTTGTTTTGTGTATTGATGAAGTGAGAAGATCGGAGTGATCGGTGGCAGTTTACATAGAAAGAGAAAGGACGAGGGGTTTGGCTTGGTGCTTGCAGATGAGGACGCTGGTTGGTTGCAATAAAGCCAAGAGGTCCCACAATTGAGAAGAGTGTGCAATAATTGAAGGGGGAAAAGAGTGATCCATTATCGTGGCTAATGCTACTGGTCATTCTTCTTCTTTTTGTCTTTTTTTTCTAATTTGGAGGGCACATAATTTGAAATTATATGTTTTTTGCCAAGATAATTTAGAATTATAAGTATAATTAAACTCGTAATATTCACTGAAAATTTTCATGTTAGTAGGTTATAATGTCTTTGATTAGTGGCCATTACTCTAAACTTTTCATCGGCCAGTTCACTGTATGCCAAAGTGGCAAAAGAATTATTAGGTTTCCATCACACACACACACACACACACACACAATCTCTGGTTATATATGATCATTTTCTTCAACAAATTGATGGTGTCATATTTAATTATATTTTTATAAAATTACTGTTATTTCAACTGTTATTTTTTTTTAAAATTATGCTTTTAAATACGGGGTAACCTTATTTGCTTTTCTTTCAATTTCAAATTATTTTCATAATTTAATTATTTTTTCTTGATTCTAGTGAGGTAAATAAAAGTTGCCTATAGTGTCACCAATAATAATATATTTGATCAAATATTATATGGCAATTAATTTCTATAAATTGAAGAGTCTACGGGCTAAGGCTCCCTTGTCTTCTTTATGTATTGAGAAATAGAATGATAATTACTTATTGCTTTGAAATGTTTGTCTTTTTTGTTTCTCAGCCAGATATTTGTCTCATGGTTAAAGGGAGATAATGATTAACACAGGCGTGCAATGAGCATCCTAAATTATTTTGAGACACCACGGAATATCTTTTTTAAGTACATCTGACACCTTAAAGTATTATTTTATGCATTCAACACTATAACACTATAAAGTATCTTTACAAGTGTGTTCAGTACCTTAAAATATTTTTTTATGTATCCCGCACCCTAGAGTATTTTTCAAGTAAGTCTAACACCTTAAAATATTTTCCGGTGTATCCAATACCAAGATCAGAAAACAAAAAATGTTGAACACACACATAAAATATTTTAAGATATTAGATGCATTACAAAATATTTTAAAGTATGCTATATACACAGGAGAAAATATTTCATTGTGTTAAGATGCGCTTTAACTCAACAGATCTCATTCTTTTTCTACCTTGCTTTTTGCTCGATTAGATTTTTACTTTTCTCAACCACTCTATCCTTTACACGTAAGGACGCAAATCCACTTTTTTTCATTATATTTTTAACCCAAAAGTCTTAAAGTTAATATTCTTTTAAAAAAAATCCTAATCTAAACTAAGAAATTAAATATAAATATATCCTCTCAATTTCATTTAAAATTAATATGTCTCAAGATATTTAATATTTACAAGTCAGACTGTCATATTTACAAATTGAGTTGCATTATTTACGGATCACATTCAATAATTTAATATTCACACGTTAAATTATTTTCCTATTTATAAGTTCAGCTACGTCTTTTACGAATCAAATTTTGTAAATATTAATTTCATTAAAACGTGTTAATATTAAATGAAATTCAAGAGACCTACACGTATTTCATTTTTTTTCACCTAGAACTTATCGATAATTTTCTCTATTTTCTTATGGAAGAAGCGCTGGTCAATCTTTGACCACAAGTTATAACAAAATTTTCAAAGTCAGAGACCTTTTGTTGTGTAACATGTCAGGCCACTTGGCTATACATGGTTCCTTAAATTTACATCAAAATTTAGTTTATTTTTTTATAATATTTTCAGTCATTTTATCTTTAACACGATTAATCTAATTTGATACAAAGCATTGAGTTAAAAAATTTAAATAATAATTTTATCTTTAAATACTGACAAAATATGCTTAAATTTAAAAATAAAAAATAATTATATTAAATAATTAAAATTTAGAACATAGCTCGTAAGCATGTAATTATAGAGTCGGCTCTTTGTTTTTTGGCCGACATAGAGTTAGCTATCAAATTAAACTAACAATGTTAACATTTCAAAACTAAAAATAAGATTAAATTGAAACTTGAAACATATACTATAAACCAATTATATATGAGACTCAGATCAATTTATATTTAAAATACTTTGTCTCTACTGAGCAGCCTATGCACTTTTCATTGTTTCTAACTTCAGCCTCCCTTCTATTATGGCGCAACTTTAGGCAGCACAGATTTTTTTTCGTTGTATTTTTTTCAAAATAAATAAATTTATGTATAATTATTTGATTAAGAGCTTAAAAATATATTATCAGATAATATCACTGGGATGGCATTTTATTCTTTTGGGCCAATGCTTGGCCCGAAAAGTTGAAGAAAGCACATGGATTTAATTTAGAACAAATTAATTGATAAAAAATTAGTAAATTATACATAATGTTGCATTATTTCTGGACCACACACAAGTCGGTGGTGAAGGTAGGAGAAGAAAAGAGAGCAGCGAAAGAAAAATATTAAAAAATATGGAAGAATAACTTTATTTTTTATAAAGGGGCATTTGATGGAATATTATAAAACCAATTAAAGTAAATTAGTCAGGATGTTTGGCATCCCTTCAAAAAACCCCAATTTGGAAGGAACCAAAATAGGGGATGGGGAGGGGAGGGAAGGGGAGGGGAGATTTTGGCTCTCCTCCCCTCCAAAATTGTCAACCAAATGAGGGGAGGGGCTCATTTTCCCTCCCCTCCCCTCCCCTACCCTCCCCTCCAACCAAACACATCCTTAAATTTCTCACATTTTCTACATTATTATACAAGCGTCTGAATCTTAGTATAATGGGAAAAATATTATAATGCCTTCTTTGGGCTCTTCCTATTCTTTTGGTAGCGTGACGCATTACTTAGGATACTCGGTTAGTGACTTATATTTCTTCATAAACAAAATGCAATCGTCGAGACAAGCATGTATCTTCTCATAGTTGAGGCCTATAGAGCATAACACTTGCTTTGCATCATATGTTTTGCTTGGAAGCTCATTTTCTTTCGGTAGCATTTCTTTAACAAGCGAAAGCAATTCTGTGAAGTTTGTGTTGCTCCACCTATTTATTGCCTTCAAATTATATAGTTTCAAAACTGCAGACAACTTTTTAAAGTCAATACAACCTTCATATAAAGTTGTCTTAGTATCACACTTCAATCTGTCAAACATTTCTAGACAATCCTCAAGTTCGTGTTCAATCGCATTGGCCATATCCTCAAGACAGTCAGCTTCATATGTACTTGTGTCAAAATTAGATGATCCACAGCTTTCATTATGCCCTCGACTACTATTACTCACATCTCTTCTCTCTCTGTGCTTTGTTCAACACTTATAACTTTGATCAATTCCATTGATAATTAAGTAGCTCTCACAAACGGATAGCGAAACCCACTTCAAAAGGTAACACTTAAGACAAGGGCAAATAATCATACTGTGATCATCTGCGTACTCAACCTCAAACTTAATAAAATCTTCTACCCCATCCCAATATTCCTTTGATAGACGATTGGTGGACATCCATTCCTTGTCCATGGTCCCCAACTAAGATGAATCATTTAGAGAAAAATATGATCAACGACTCAAAGATATTGTGAGAATTAAACAAAAATAGGAAGTTAATGCATGAAGCACAATTGATCACATTTATCACTCTTTAATTCTACTTGTTAACAACTAGTAATTCTAGTTGTTAACAACTAGTAATTCAACAAAAGTTTACTTTGATTTCAGTTTAAAAAATATTCTACTATTACTAATGTACAATTCCATTTGGAAAAGTTTGGGGCTTATAACTTAGCATTTCCCAGGCTTTATACTCTCTATTTGATTTCAAATAAAGTATTAAGCAGCAAACTAGCAGTAAGGCAATTTTAATAACAACATATGAATTAATTAACATTCAATAATTTAGAAAAACATAAAATATAGGGCCTTAAGTCAATTTCAATTACAAAAGTAAACAATTTATGGCAAAAACAGAAATTGAAAAGAGCATGGAACTAAAACTGATCCAAGTACGCAAAAAAAAAAAAAACAATTTCCTGGGCTGAATAGAGCAATGATAATGGAGCAAAAATAATTGCTCGTTCTATCATCTAGTTTCAGTTAAAATCATTTAGAAGGAACCACAAAATCAAATTAGGAATTTTATAGAACATGACCACCATAAAGCTATAAAATCTGGAGAACACGCCGCAACGATGACGATGACCACACAGCGTGACGACGCGACAATGATGGAGGAGGACCATAGAGAGCTATGATGATGAAGGAGGAGCCACAAAAACAAAAGGGAAAGACCGAAAATGATGTGGGGATGGCAGATTAGAAGACTGGGAGGTTTGGGTAGAGCTTGTGAACCAAAAGGCCGCCTGAAATTTTACAACTAGGTCGAGCAAAATGAACAGATTTAGAGGTTTTAAAACACAATATTTGATGGTTTTACAATATAACCGTCAGGTATGTTTGACAAATAATTAACGGTTATGATGAAAAACTGTTAAGTATTACTAAACTTGACGGTTTCAAAGGAGTTAAATATTTGTCAATTTTTCTTCTGGTAAATTCCACCTCACTTTATTTGACAGCTTTTGTTATAACTGTCAAGTATTTGGTGTCAACTATTTGTAATTCTATAGTAGTGTCTCTTTCTCGGATTGTTTCTTTGTATTCTTTCATGAATGCATTGCTTTTGTTTAAAAAAATTAATCAAAGAAAAAATAATGTCGTCTTCTAAAATATTTAAATTGAGTAATTGTTTTATATACTATCGACTTTATATTTGTGCACATATAGTTATACAAACAATATCAGTAAAAAAAAAAAATATAAAACGCATAATAAGTTGCATTAATCACATGTTACCACTATCAAAAATATAATTTATTCTTAAATTACTCTGCCCGATTTTATATAGAAGAAAAAGTTTTCGAAATGGCCTGGTTTTATTTATAAAATATACCTCAGGTATG